GATATCCGGTCATTTGTCCATACGATGTCGATAGTAGAGGCGTATAGTAGTTGTAAAGGCAAGCAGACAGGCCCTTGATGTCTGCAACGTTTTTGAATATGACGTATATCTCAAAATTCTACTGAACGACCGGCACACGCCGCGTTTATGGGTGTGACTCTTTTTCGGGAGGAAAAATGCCCTGACATGTAAGTAATTATTTATATCTATTCTATAATGTGTTAACTGATTTTAGAAGCATGAAGATTTGGAAGTTGACATCGTGTATATCTCTTGAAGTCGACTACGTTTTTTAATGTAGATGTCAATTTGTATTTTTCTGTTACGTTAATTTAAACTAAAACAGTTCAAATAGTCAAAAGATTTTAAAAAAAATAAATAAGTGATACCCTAATCATAGATTCTGGAAATTTGGGTGGAGCCAGTCCTAGGTTTCAAAAATATTTGCTGGGTTTACTTTGCATTTCAGCTGAGCCGAATTTTTGTACGAAGAGGATGATATACCTTCTGTTCGTTCATAAGTTCATGACCAGTTTCATATCGTTGTCGAGTGCCTATTAGACTGAACATCAATCTCTCTACAAATTCTGAACTATGCTAAACAAAATCATCTCAATAAACTTATTTTAAAGTTGAGCCTGTGTCTCAAGTACTTTGTCAATCTAAGGAATCTAACTATTTGATAGTGTCAAACATTACCACTATTTAACTAGGCGTAAGTCTAAGCTGTCAACCGCTTTTTTTCATATATCTAAACTATAGTTATAAACTATAATTTTAGAAAGTGAGATCTCCCTGAAATATGTTGAAGAAAATCCAAGTTTTCATTTGAAACCAAGAAAACAAAATAGTTTTAACAGAAAAAAGATGGCGTCTGTTTAAACTGTCGTATATGGCGTTTCAGGAGCAGTTGTTGTAAATGTATGCAATGTGTAAAGAAATAGAAAATCAAATTCTAAAAAAAGAAAAGGCCTTGTATTCAATAATTAGCTGGATTTCATTTCACTCGGCTGCTTGACTCAGTGAAAGATCAAATTTTATTATTAACAGAATTGCTATAATCAGTAGAAACAGTTTCAAAAACAGATAGTGATCACAGTTATTGTGATCTATCAAATGACGAATCTGTATAAAAATAAGTTATGATTAGATGCAGAACCATTCCTGAATATACAAAGTGAAAGCGTCTGATATGCAACCAATATTTAGTGAGTGCTTAAAAGTTCTTGGTCAAACCTACTTTCCAAAATAAAATGATGTAGTATGGGATTTTGGAGGGAGGAGGGGGGCTTTTTAACTTTGCCATGAATTATTCAGTAACTCTTTGAAAGCTCTTGAACGAAATTAATTTGTCACAGAGTTACATTTCTAGAAAGATCTAAACTGTTTTGAATAACTTGGAAAACCAGTACGATTAGGAATTTAATCTTTTGAGTCTTACGTGGTAGGTGTGAGCATATTAATCGGCAAGTCGGTCAGATGAACAGGACTGGACGTTCCATGATTATGTACAAGTTTTGGCTTCATGGTATTTCTTCTGCTAATTGAGACCGTTATTTCATTTTTAAGTTTCTTCTGATTCGGACCTCATGCGATTTTTTCATTTTTATTTTTACATTATTCGGACTATTATCCTCATCTTTGTCGCCATATTTATCACAACGTTTCCGTTATTGTACGCTCCGGCCTTCTTCAGGTGGTTAGAATGTCGAACTAAACCCTTTATTTCGCTCACTGGGCTAGACTGTTCAAGTCCACGTGCCATGTGTCCTCAAGGACACATGGCATAGTTGATAAAGGCTTTGGTTAGATCCAGTGAAAGGACCCAAAGAGTGTGAGTTCAATATCTGTTTAAGACAATGGAGAACTTGGAGAGGGAAATTAACAGGAGATAACTGATAATTGACATCCATTAAACATGACACGTGGAACTAGAACAGTCTACCCCAGTGAGCGAAATAAATGGTTCAGTTCGGCATTCCAACTACCTGAAGAAGGCCGGAGCGTACAACGGCCGAAACGTTGTGATAAATATGGCGACAAAGATGAGGAAAATAGTCCGAATAATGTAAATAATGTACATAATACCTCATCTCAGAAATATAGACATTTTTTTTCTACTTCATCAAACCGTGCATTCACGTGGCTGGTATTCTTTCATTAAAACACTACGCAAGACGAAAATATGACAATGAAACTTATTTAAACATTCAAAAGACATCATACTGATACAATCATTTCATTTTTTTCTAATCATCAACATGATTTGTATTCAAATCTACAAAACCAGGAGGTATCTGAGTCAATGGCGTATTTATGCTATACAGGGCCGGCGTGTACTACCCCCGACCGGTGGGAACCTAATTTGGCGATCCATAGAGTGCTTTGGGACCCTGTCTCTCTTATCAACATTTGCTTTTTTTTTCTACCTACATTTATATACGTTACAAATTAAACTAGTCATGACTATTAAAGGATGAAAAATTTTCGCGGATTTTGACATCACTGAAATCCGTGAATTCGTTTTGCTCATGGCTAGTTTTTTAAAAAAAAAAAACTCTATATAAAGTTAACTATTTTTATCTATAATTTTGAATATTAAATTATTCAACTTTTAAGAAGAAAAATCTCAACTTGATGATAAAAATTGCAGCAAAACAGTTTTTATTTAAGTTATCTATTATGACATGTCACTAATGTGTATTTAAATATGTTGTATTTATTTTCAATTTTTCTAGTTGAATTGTTCACTTATATTGCATCTGATTCACCATTGTATAATGATTAAGTTACAGTAAAATTTGTATTTTATATAAATACTACCTTATGAAAATCGAGATGTAGTAGAGTAGTGGGGCCCTGTATCATAAATTTGTGGGTGGAAGCACGGGACAGTTGCACCGGCTCTGCTGCTATATTATGGACTCGAGTTGCTCAATTGTTCCTTTCCAGTCTTGATTCAGTTCAAAATGGTTTACGCTGTCTTGTGTGGCATTATTTATTTTCCATATTCCAACCTCTCTTTGTTGCTTATGGAATGTTTCAATTCTGTTGCTACTCTATCGCTATTTCCACAACAAAAAATTTCAGATCTCCTCTTTTGTTTAGTTCCACCAGTTCAGATTTTTACATCTTGGACACACGCTGCCCTTTCCAAGGAATCAGCTTCATTTCCTCCGTATTTCAAAGAAAGTTCTACTCAGACAGATCCCTCCCGCACCCCCCCAAAAAACCCAAAAAACAAAAACAAAAAAAACCTGCCAATTTATGAAATAGAGACACACGGAGGTGCTTCTCTAAACACATTATTCTTAACCCCTTCAAGTACAACGGTCAGTCGTTATCTATCCTTCTTGTTTTCATAATCTACACTTCTTACCACTTTCCTTTCCACTCGAGCCTCATATCATTCAGCATTACCATTTTCTACTTTAAACCTCTATATTGAGTGGCGCTCGAACCTTGTGTTGGGTGAATATATATTTTTATCTCTGGCGTTACCATGCATAATAATTGCTTCCTTCCATACTTGATACTCCAGACGTATATTTAATGATTGTTAAGAAGCATTTATAAAAATTAGTTGAAGATCTGAGTTTATCTGAAGAAATGTACAAAGAAGAAAGCGCCTTCAGAAGCACATTCGTGTAAACCGTTGCTGAAAATTCCATCAGGAGGGCTTGGAAAATTTGACATTCACAGGACCTATTGAAGCCCCCCCCCTACCTAGAAAAAATGGTCAGGCAAAGGTAGCGAGTCATATTAGATTATTTTCATGAACAAGGTTGTATAGCCCGAACTTCTCAAATAAAATGGCAAGACACATCTTGAAAGAGCAGAAAGAGAATTTTGTATGGAGCTGGGCAAATTCCATTCCCCATGCTTCGTTTCCATTCACCGTCATCCACTCATAGCTGAGACGGCTTGAGATCTCACCACCCAGCACTTTATTCTCTTTATGTGTCCAGGACTTGGGCGATCATGGTTCTTTCCAATTTCCTATACACCGTAGCTTGAAGTAATGTTTACTCTCTCTTCTTGTCCCTGTTCTGCTATCCATTTTCTATAAGCTCGTGATGGAGGACGCTTGTTGTTTTCCCGTCTCTCATTCGATTGTCTAAAAAAGACAATTCGAATGACAAGCAAGGTAGCGATTATCTTGGAATACAAGCATCATGAATATTACCATATTTAACAGCTTATTCTTAAAATGCCATTCAGTTTCCAAGGTGACGTGGTTTATTCCTGTTGACGTAGTGGTTCAATCATAATTCAATGCGCGCGGTCACACTGACTGGAAATGATATCTACCTGGTTTATCGCGAATGACTATGTATTTTGTGTTGAACATGCTATTTCAAAACGACATGTCGCTTGGTGAAGAGACATTCTGGATTGTTCCAGAATTATACTGAACCTTCTCGGTAATAAGTACCTGTATCGAAATAATAGCAGAATATCATTAAAGATTAAAGACTGAATCAGCCAAAGTTTAATGAAATATTTAAAACATTTACTTAATGAAGATTAAATTATTTATGTGAATAAAGTATTTTTCTCCTGTAATAAAAATAACAAAGAAAAGAAAACAACAAAAATCAGGCAGGTCAACCCAAACGATGTATTAAATAAACATAATGTTTACTGGAATAAGAAATAAGAAATAAATTGAATTACAAATCCAATAATTGCTAAAACTGAGTTTGTATACATTTAAGTGGATTCACTGTAATGGCTTCCCGTAGCTTAATGATACAACACGTTTGGCTTGAAAGGATATTTACACATTAAAAAGTGAATATAAGTTCTATTCCTGTCAAGTAGTGTATTTTCCTTAATAAGACTTTGGAACTCTAGACCGGTAGACATTAATTTCAATGTTTGCCAAAGAAATGAATACATTGTTCTTTTATGTTATATGTCCTAGTACATGAACAGTTTTAGCCCTCTCTAGTTTAGTATTTATTGTTGCTCTAAGGAACTTTTAACCCTCTTCGGGCTTATGGCCATATCACGTTGAAACAACCATTCCAATACGATCACTGAAGTTAAGCATCGTTGAGCTTGGTTAGTACTTAGATGGGTAAACGATTGTTAAATACCAGCTGGTGTAAGATTAGGCGTGCAGGTAGTATGGCTTATGGCTACATCACGTTGAAACACAGGCTACTATATGATCACCAAAGTTAAGCAACGTTGAGCTTGGTCAGTACCTAGATGAGTGACCAATTGGGAATGCCAGATGGTTTAAGCGTGGGTGTGTGGGTGGTATGGCTTACGGCCATATCACGTTAAAACATCGGTTCTCGTACGATCACTGAAGTTAAGCCATGTCGAACCTGATTAGTACCTAGATGGGTGACGGTTTTGAAATACCAAGTGCTGTAAACTTGGATGTACGGGTGGTGTAATGGATAATGTCTCGGAATTGTTAATCGGAGAGCAGAGTTCAAATACTCGTTCGGTTCGTTATATTCACTCAGGCGCAAATACCCTTGTTGTGAATTCATTTCTTCTCCATCCCAGCTAAAAGTTAATTAGCAAAACTTGTATCACCAAATCCTTATTATACCCACAAAAAAAAAATGTAAAAAAAAGATATATTTTCTGGCTTTAAATAACCTACGGTGGAAAATGAGGCACGGTGGAGTAACACGGCTCGGATTGAGGAACCGGAGTTCGAATTCCAGTCAAATCCGTTACATTCACTTACGCGTTAATACCCTTGGGAAAGGTATAAATCCATGGACAAATAGCAGAACAGACCGGGTTCTATAACCATGGCAACTAGTCTGCCGCAGAAAGAAATGGCAATCTACTGCGGGAAGAACTCGTCATTCATGTATCGAAAGATACATGAATGACGAGGCAGAGTTTTACCCGCAGTTTTTTCTCTACCTGAGCGTGTATCACGCATGGCACATAACTGACTGACTGACCGTGGAAAAGAAATCACAATCGATCCATTAAGACTCTAACGTAATTCTTTGACTTTATTTTCCCATTTACTCACTCAAGCTCATTGAACAGATTACTTGTCTTGTGTGTGTTAAAGTATCCAAACATTCTTTCCTCATTATATATCCTAGAAATTTCACTCTTTTTTGTCTAGATTTCCAGTTGCAGACTATTATAATATTGTAAATTTTAAAGAAAACAATGTTTAGTTTGATTCATTTTGCTTTCATAATCTTTTGACGTAATAATTGCAGGAATATTTTCTCCGTCAAAACAGTTGTCTCTCAGAAATCATTGAGTTAAGCGCAACCTTGAGACATCTCTTATTTATTTTCATTTATTTTTTTTAGTGAAGAAATATCTACGTTGCCTTTTTTAAATTATTTATGAACAGGGATTACTCACGATTTCCCAAATGCTTATCAGATAATAGTCATATATTTGTCAATCTTCGAGTGATACAGGGTCTTTTTAATGTCGGCTTCAAGGCCACATTGTAAGCCTTGCCTCGTGTATACTCTTTCTCCTCCATCTCTTAGTACAATGGGGAGATGCTGTGTGGGGGCCGGATCCCCCGGCACCAGATTTCAGTTAATTGTTAATGGATTGCCAGAAATAATCAGATAATAAAGATAATCTTTCTCATGTGTTTGGAAATACGAATATTTCAGTTATCAATTAGTCGCATCTATAAAAAAAAGAAAGGTATAAATGTCCAGTTATATAGAATAATTTTAATTGTAACATTTTACGATAATTAAAAGCAACAACAAAAATAAAAAAAAAATTACCATATTGATGAAAGTCCTGTTCGTCTGACTAGACAAAATATTTCAGATCGAGATTGCAATTGAGATTGCAAAACGGTGTTTATAGAGAATAACTTGAAAGCATTGATAATGTCTATTGTGTTTGTTTGTAGTTTTTGTCTGTTTCGTTTTGTGAGTAAATATAGAGAAGCCTTTCATCAACCTTTGAAAGGCAGTCTAACTGTTTCTAATTTATACAATGGTAGCGAAACTCCGATGGCAACCTTATCCGACAGACGAAACGGAGAAAAGTAAAAATAAAAAATTGAAAAAAACCTGACACTCCTTGATTTACAAGCGCCAGATCAGTCCAAAATTAGAGTATATCTAGGCTGGAGATGCCCAGTCTTCACTTGCCTGTCTTGATAGACTTCCAAAGCATCTACGCAGCCTTTAGGGTGATGGAATATTTTCCGCCCTATAACCATTTTTCAAGAGACGAAATGTTGCTAATCTCTAGCTGTTCTATCGTTATTTCCATAGTATGAATTTGAAGAACTACAATCCTTAGTCCCACCACCCGTGACCTTTACAACTGGGACGCACCGTGACACGTACACATGGTTGAATCATCCTCATTACCTTCGTATTCCTATAGTACGTTCCATTCAAACAGTTAGGATGCTTTCCCCGCTGACTACAATCAAGAGCTCTTCACGTCTTCAGTTAACAGTTATCCTCCCTGCATAGCCGCATGAAATTCACTTCTTGACCTTTCTTATACAACACCACACAGTATCCCTCTACCTGCAATGGCTCTTGGGCCATATTTTGGTTGAACAAAGCTATAGAAAATGAATATATAAGACTAATGGTGGGGAAAAGGGCAAAATGAAATTTCCAGAAATATGCCTATTTTGATCTGAATGTTTCACTATAATTTAGGATCGATGTGATTAGCAAAATGATGGATTGAGTGCAGTAACAAGGATGGATATTATAGTGAATATCATGAAGAAAACGTAGAAATTATGTAATTGATAAATGCATCATTCTTAAAATTTAAATGGATAAAAACCACAGGTGAATTGTTCTGGCTGATTGATATATTTAACATTTAAAAATAAATCTTATGCATTTCTTTATATATACGTGTGTGTGTATGTTGTAGTGGTTGGTTGGTTGTGTGTGTGTTCAAGCATACATATATACATAAAAAATATTTAGACATATAAATATACATACATATATATATATATAAGCATGGATATATATATATATATATATATATATATATATATATATATATATATATATATATGCAATCATATATATACAGACCTACATTCTATACTACACAGAGATGCTGAAAATTATACATGCACGCATAAACACACATATATATATATGTGTACCATGTGCACATATATATATATATATATATATATATATATATATATAATATATATATATATATATATATATATATATATATATATATACATATATGGTGTGTGTGTGTGTGTGTGTGTGTATAGTATCTTATATTAGGGTGACAATTCTGAGTTTCATGCCGAAGAATTTTCAAGAATGGAATAATTCTAGCACTTGAAAATTGCTTGGCATGAAACTCAGTTATGCAATTAATGTAAGATAAGTTGTATTTGGGAATGTATATATTAGAATATATATATATATATATATATATATATATATATATGGTAAATAACATTGTTGCTTTACACTGAGTACTGTTTTTTCTTACACGATAGAGTATTTATATGTATTTACAAATGATCGCTCGCTCGCATACCTACCTGTATTTACCGATTCAGTTAGATATGTATATAAATACATATTGAAGATGAATATAGACATGTAAATAGACATACACTTGCATACGTACACACACACATTTGTTATATATATATATATATATATATATATATATATATATATAATGTTGGCCTTTTATATATATATATATATATATATATATATATAATAATAAAAAAAGGCTTTTTTTAATATTCCATCGTCATACATTAATTCCATTGGAATCGTAAATACGATCCAATACATCACACCTAGCAAATTCATATATATATATATATATATATATTTATATATATATATATATATATATATATATATATATATATATATATATATATATATATATATATATACAAGATCAAAATATATATATACATACATATATATAGGCATGTATTTATATTTATGTATGTTAATTTCTGTTTTGTAAGAATTTTCAAGAATTTACTTAATAAATACACGCACACACACATAAACACACACACACACACACACACACACACACATATATATATATATATATATATATATATATGTTGATGAACTACCTCATAGATAAGAAAATTAGATTATTTCTTTCTAATGTGAGCAGCAGTAACACAGATCATATCGATAAAATTCAATGTTCAACATTTTCTATAAACAAATACACGTTAAATTTAAGCAGGCTGAAATTTTTTTAGAAATTTGATAATTGGCATTGGCAACTTAATTTTGCGAAAAATTGCCAGTAATCTAATGGTTCTGTTAAATTTAGAAATGGATATTCTTTAATTCATCAAGAAAAATTATTGATAACATTGTGATTTTTATAAATGGGGATGACATGATAGATTTTGGGGTTGGAATTGTTAAAAAATAATTTTGTGTGATATGTTGTATGTTAGTTAGTATTTATAATAAAGTGTGTGTGAAAAAAAAAGGGTTTGACAATGATGGATTTGAATACATTGTTTTGAAAATGGCAATTAAGACCATCCAAAAACGGGATGTTTTATCTTGTGTTGTGCAATTCTTAATAAAATGGATACATGGTATTTTTTTTCTTGGCGGTTTAAATCTTTATGTCATTTATTGATGGGAAGAAATTAAAAATTTTCCTTTTAAAATAAAAAAAAATATATATTTATTTTCATTTTTCATTCTCAAAAATTTTATACATATATATCATATAAGTTAAATAAATATAATGTAATTCTTTAATTGTTGATTTAATACAACATTTCTATATAGTCATTTTCACAATTTCACCATTAATCGACACACAAACACATTTAAAATATTAAACGTTATGTATTCAAAATTTATAACATAAGCATGTTATAACATCACTAAAAAAATAGCCATTTTGTTTCAACACTTCTGGTAATTTTTGTCATATGATGGAGTTAATTGCAAAGTAAAAGTTTAAGACCCCCCTCAATGGGAGAAATATTGTTACGTAACCTATGATGACCACTCCAGAATACAAGTATATGATCATTAAAAAAAACTTAACAACAGACCCTAAATACAATCGATTAATACATAAATGTTAATGTTAGATTAAATTAGAAATCAGTAGAACTAATTAACATTTAACTGTAGAATTAAAAATTCAAATTTTAAGTTTAACCGAGCATAAAGTTTAAAATATTACAAAATTATTCAAAATATATGGGAAAAATATATCTATTTATTGTTTGGCGAAGTGCCAAATTATCCGTTAAATTTATTGATGTCAGAAGGATCTACAATCGTTATATAGATACATAGAGTCTGAATTCAGATAAGGAAGACATGGAAAGGATTTTACAAATGACAAGACAAACACATTAACATCCTCATATGCAATAAGAATATGTT